CTTTCAAAATAAAATTTTTAGTGTATCCGACGAGTGCTATATTCTTCGAAAATTCAAGGTAAACCCCAAACTATCGGCCCTAAAATTGGTTGTAGATGTTTAGAAAGAATTAGGAAAAACATGCAGCGCTGAAACCATCTCCTGCGTGCTCCGCGAACGTATATTGAATGGCCGAGTTCCTTGTAAGAAACCGTGCACTAGCAAAAAAAAAAAACGAAATATTTCGATTAAAGTTCGATCAGGAACATATTTGTAGGACCCATAGTTTTTGGAACACGATTACATTTTCAAACGAGCCAAAACTCAATATTGGGGTTGTATGTCCGAAGCCGTGAGGGTATTTGGAGTTTATTGGTATAAAAATTCCGCTTTTATCAAGATAACGAACCAAAACATAAAGCAGCAGTCGTTCAATTCTGGCTTATATGAAACTATCACCATTTGATGACACTCCTGGCACAGTTACTTGATGTGAATGTTATTGAAAATTTGTGTTCTTTATTAGAAAAAAACATTCGAAGCCACAAGATTTCGAGCAAAGAGGAATTAAATAAGGTGCTACTAGAGGAATGGCAGAAAACTACCCCAGAAACCACAAAAAAGTTATTCCAATCAATGCCAGCCAGGATCCAGGCTCTTGCTAAGGCGAAAGGCTTTCACACCGAATATTAGAATTTAAGGTTGAAAATTATTTGTTTATGTTATTTTAGAATGAATTGAACTATGTATATCAAATCAGCTGTTATCAGAAATTCAGCAGTAATTTTAATTTTATATATGTATATATTTACATACGAGTATATACAGAAGCTCACAACCAGAGTGATGCAGCTAACAAATTTCTCAAAAAAGTGCCAGCTAACAGCGGCAGATATACACATTTCAGTTATGCATTAAAAATTTTATATTTCATATTTATTTTATGTAATTTACAACAAAAACAAACTTCAGTATTAAATTGTACCTCACAGCGAAAATGGTCCACAAAGATTTACCGTTGGTGGCGGCGTCTTGCATGTATATTTGAAAATAAAATATTTTTTAAATAAACTAAGTATTTCAGCATATGTATATGAAATTCTTTATTCTATAATATAGCGTTTAAATTTCAATATTCCTTTCAGTTTAGAATATATTGGGATCAAATTAGCTGTGATCCACTGTAGGTAGCCTTTTGCTTAGTTTAGTAGGAACAACACTTTTATTTCCAGAACAAAACTATTAGAAAAAATCGTGTTTATGGTTTGGAAAATTTTCAGGAATGGGGCAAGGGTCACCGAGCAGATATTTGATTAGCTGTGTTCATTCCATAACCCGAAGTCACGATCGTCCGAATACGGGATCCGTTTCCTTGCATTTACATATGTATGCCAATGCTGCATATATTATATTATTGACAGTTTATTGAAAATATATATGGTAAAATATGAGCTACAGTTTCGATAAAGCTTTTGGGCAAACTTCAGGCACCGAACAGAATGAATAAAACATGAGTGTTTAAGAGTTTTCACGTTACGAAATGAATAATTTTGTAGTAATGAATAATAGTAATTTTGCTTCATTTTAAGTTACTTGCTGCGCTGAAGTGGGCAGAAATAGCGAACACCATTCAAACAAATAATTTAAGGACGAAATTGGTTAAATTTTGGGCTTGAAGAAGATTTAAAAATAAATTCGCTTAACTTTTCATTTAAAACGTTGAATAGTTTCATGGCCAATACATTTTAATTTTAAGGTATTGAAATTAATATTATCTCTGAACAAAATCTTTTCTCGCTGGCAACTCTGTCAATTGATGCAATGCCAAGCGAGTGGTGTTAGTAAATAATGTCAAAGATGTGAAAAATTATCAAAATCCCAAGCGAACGGACATTAGTTATTAAAATTTAATATTAAAATCTATTTTGTCAAAAAATCGTGTTCAAAAATTAGAAATGGCGAATGTTTTCAATGGATTATTATGAACAAAAACTAGAAGATTTCGTTTTTGAGGGATTCATATTAACATTTTCGTAAAAATCAAAACAAAAATGTTTAACCGTAGTAGAATATTTGAAGTTCTGGTATTAAGAAAACATGATAGTTTAATATATTATTCAATATAGGAGTAAATGTAGGATGTACTTTGACATTTATAACTTGCTATTTTAAAATTTTTTTTTATGTTACTGAATTTTATGTTTCAAATATTTTTATTTTCTGATTATTAATTTTCACTTTCAAATACAAATGTTTTTGTGATATAAGTTTTATTTAAATAAATAAAATTTAAAAAAGTTTTTACTCAAATATATTATTGAATACAATATATTAGTAAATATAATAAAAGAAGTATATGTATTGTAAATTGTGTTTAACTATGAATTCCATTATTTATTTTATTAGGCACCAACCCTAAATATTGCTCCAAAAATTTCATTTCCCACCATGTTTTCTTCGATTAAGGGTGAAGCTGCTCTAAAATTTTGAAACAATTTAAACAATTTTTTTTGTTGTCTTAAAAGGTACTTTAGGATCTTAAAAAAAGCATATCGCAAAATTGATGCTGGCAAAAATGTCTAAATGTCCAAATTATTCATTCGACGGCAGGGCCTCGCAGGTTTAAACGCGTTTTACTCGAAATAACAAATCTTCACCGATTCTTACGAAATTTTGTAGTACAAGTAACAAGTGTTTTTTTTATTACATAGTTTTTTTAATCAATAATTTTATGTCGTTTTTTATAGTGAAAACTGTTACTTTTTGTTCAAACTACACCATTTCGCGAAAAAAAACAAAATATCGATAAAAAAACCTACGTACATCTCTAGCTGTTGTTATATAGAAACAAAAAAACTAATTTTTTGATCCAGAACAAATATTAAGGAGTTTACGTCTTCGGCCAATGGCAGTTAAAAAAAGGCGTTTTCAGAGAAATACCTAACAGCAACCATTTTTAAATTAATTCATACGAAAAATTTGTATTTATGCCATGAAACCTATAAGTTTGATAGATTATTTCACAGACTTTCTACTATTAAATTAGAAAGATTTTATTTTACAGATATTTCGAGAAAGTTTTACGTCTAATTAGTGTCTTATAGGCTCTAAAAGAATTGATTTCTTAAACAAATTATAATTTCTTACAAAAATTTATATACCCAGCAACTCTAATATTTAATGTCATATGAAACGAATGGGATATGTGAATAAAATCAAAAGATGAAAATTTTTCGTTTCATTTCGTTTACGAAAAAATCGCGTTTGTTATGAAAATTTTTACCGAAATTCATGTGAGTTAGATTTGGAATGTTGTAGCATACATATGCATGTTTTTGAAGAAAAAGAAATGAAAATAATAACTTTGTTTTCGCTTATTTATGCGAATTAGTATTCTAATGCTAATATATGTACATACATAAATATGTATACCCTTAGGTTCAAATACACAAGAATTTGTTCAAAACATTTTAAGTACGACTTTGAAGAAGATATTCAATTTTAAAGCTATGTATACGTGTTCTTTTAATTTTTTTTTTTTAATTTATTATTTGGTAAATTGAATTACCCGAATTAATCCTTAAGTAATATATTGACGTGTGAACAGATGGACTACCAGATCCTTAAAGAAAACATTGGAGGGAAGATGATACTGCACGTTCAATAACTTTGTATTCAACAAGCCAAAAAGCATAGAAATTGTTGTCAAGAAAGGGTTTCTTTTCATTAGAGCATTACAAAGATGGTCCACGAAAGTAGACATCGCGCCAGGAATTATAAAGCCTGTGTTTAGGATATTGTCAGAAACTCAGCGTTTAAGCGTGCGCTTCACAGTTTTCACGCAGTTGTCAAAAAGTAGCAAACGTCACTGTCAATTACGTAGCGTACAACTTGTCATTCCCCTGTTTGTTGTGACTGGAGGAAATGAGCGAGATTTTACATAGTTTTTTTTTTTTTTTTTAAAATCAACAATTTTATATCTTTTTTTTTATAGCGAAAATTGTAACTTTTTTTAAACGTGCACCATTTCTCGAAAAAACAAAAAACTAAATCCTACGTCTCTTGCTGTTATTATATAGAAACTAAAAAAAATTATTTTTTGATCCAGGGCAAAAATTAAGGAGTTTACATCTTCGGCCATTGACCCATTAGAAAAAAAATGCGTCTTCGGAGAAATACTGGACAGCGGCCGTTTTGAATTTAATTCACACGAAAAATTTTGTATTTGTACAATGAAACCTATATTATTGAACCTATTTCACAGATTTTGGATTGATTCCTTTGTTGAGTCATTAAATATGTACATTTTTGCGCTCTAGACCAGCTTCCCCCCTTAAGTTATTTCCATGTAATATTTGTAATGTCTTCTTATACAACGGTTTCAATTCGAAGAAGGAAAAGTTTACATATTTTCAAATGTTCCAATACATCATTTTAAAACTTTTCGGTCTGAATTCGTATGTTTTAAGTATAATTAACTAGATTTCTATAGCAAAATAAAGCGTTAGTGGTAGTGAAAGACAAAAGGGTAAATCAGCTATAAAGATGCTTTCACACACAATTGCAAAAGCATTCACTCGTTTGGATTATCTTCAGGTCGAACGTTGGATGGAGTGCAATCAAGTATTTAAACTGGGGAAGAAAAAATAAGTAATGAAATAACACAATGAATGCAAGGCTTCACGCCAGTATGCATACTCGTATGCTTTGGCTTTTGAAGAGCAAAGAAATATTTTAAATGAAATGTCAAAATTAATGGTGGTATTAAATCGCTGTTACCATATTATATTATTATTGACCGCAAATTTTAAAAAAAATAAGAGAAATAGAGTGTCGATTCGACTAGTTAGTCTATATGTATGTATGTTTATTTACCCCTCAGAGGAGAGATAAAGATTAAGGAAAATTGCAGGTGATGTCAAAAAATTTCTACCACATCCTTCTTTTAGGAACATTTATGTTGCCGTAAAAATGGGCAGAAATATATAATAAGTATAAAATTCCATATGAGATATACTTACTTGCACTAATTGCGGTGACAACTTCGGGCGCCATCCAACATGGTGATCCTATGCATGTTCCACGTTTGCCAAAAGTGGAATCAACTTCACGTGATAAACCAAAGTCACACAGCTTGACGCGACCATCCTTTGTGAGTAGAATATTATCGCCTTTAATATCTCTGTGTATAACGTGATTTCTATTTAGCTCAATAGCGCCTCGACAAGTTTCCCGAATTATGTAAGCTATGTGCTCTTCGCGCATGCGTCGCTCCAGTTTCGTTAATTTATTAACCATATCCACGGCTGTACCGCCACTGCAATACTTTGGAAAATATTAACTATTTATTAATGTATAAAATGTGTATATATGTAAATTTGTAACGTTGAATTTATTGTACTTCAGTTTCTTTTGTTATATTAATAAATTTATTGACAATGAATTAATCATCAATAAAATCTACAAGCGTCAAAGATTTAAAACTTGAAGAGGAGCTGAATCAGGTGCTGAATTATCGAAGCTATTGGACAGTGAGAATTATTGGGTTGCCCAAAAAGTAATTGTGGATTTTTTAAAAGAAAGTAAATGCATTTTTAATAAAACTTAGAATGAACTTTAATCAAATATATAATTGCCATTTTGTTCGATAACCTTTTGCCATCTTCCTGCCAAATTTAGTATTCCACGCTCATAGAACTTCTGGCCTTTATCTGCAAAAAACTGAAAAAAGTGCGATTATATAGCCTCATCATTGCCGAAAGTTTTACCATTTAAGGAGTTCTGCAAAGATCGAAATAAATGGTAGTCTGATGGTGCAAGGTCAGGGCTATATGGTGGATGCCCAGCAAGCCCACTCAGTTTTTGGCGAGTGACCAAAGATGTGTGCGGTCTAGCGTTGTCCTGGTGGAATACGACACCTTTACAATTGACCAATTCTGGTCGCTTCTCCTTGATGGCTGTATTCAATTTGTCCAATTGTTGACAGTAAACATCCGAATTAATCGTTTGGTTCCTTGGAAGCAGCTCAAAATATACGACACTCTTCCAATCCCACCAAACAGACAGCATAACCTTCTTTTGGTGGATATCAGCCTTCGAAGTGGTTTGAGCTGGTTCACCATGCTTGGACCATGATCGTTTTTGACTAACGTTGTTGTAAACAATCCATTTTTCATCTCCAGTTATGATTCGTTTTAAAAACGGATCGAATTCATTGCGTTTAAGGTGCATATCACAAGCGTTGATTCGGTGTGTTAAATGAATTTCTTTCAATACATGTGGTACCCAAATATCAAGCTTTTTCACCAGTCCAAGACTTTTTATGTGATAATGAACGGTTGATTTTGGTATATTTAACTTCTCTCCTATCTCACGCTCAGTTACATGACGATCCAATTCGATTAATGCTTTGATTTGGTCATCATCAACTTCATTTGGCCGACCTGAACGTGGCTCATCTATAAGTGAAAAATCTCCAGAACGGAATTTGCGAAACCGATTTTGACACTGTCTTCCTTTTAAGGCTTCATCACCATACACATCTCGTAACTTTTTAGCAACCTGCTCCGCGTTTTTTCCTTTACGGAAATAGTAAAATAAAATATGACGAAAATGCTCCTTTGTGGGCTCCATATTAAAATCGACGCCAAACAAACAAATGTAAACAAAATTTCGCGCACTTTTTTTTTTAAAGCAAGCTAAAAGTAACAGCTGATAACTGACAGAAGAAAGAATGCAATTACAGAGTCACAAGCCGTTGAAAGAATTTGTCAACGCCGACTATATGAAAAATGCCAAAACCCAATAGTAGATCATTTGGCAGAACTTGTAAAGAATAGTCATAAACGTGGTCGAACAGGAGTTCCAGATTAAATCTGAGAACAGGTTCATAATAGTTGGTATAACGAAGGTGCAAGGATATTTACTAAAAAGTCCAAAAAACGACTAAAAAGCAAATTGCCGAGAGAAGTTCAATCGCAAAAGATTGTTGGGCGTAATGGCATCGCCGCATAGGACTTGTGAAAGCAAAAGTGGTCAAGCAATCTGATTGTTGTTTCTGGAAGCCGAATTCTGGATGTTCGGAAAATACTCCCTTATAGACCTAGTGGAGAGCGCCAAGACATTACGAAGTCTCTAGATATATTAAAATAGGAAGCGTGACAAAGATGAATGAGAAAATGATGTTTTTCAATAGCTATGTTTGTTCCATCCGAGTTTTTCAGACACGGGAACTGGACGGGAGAAAGCAACTGAAGTCAACATAGTTTTGTCAATTTTTGCATTTTTGGATTTTTTTCTTTTGAAATAGAATCTGACGTTGCTACTGAAATGTTGAAAGACTTTGTAAATTTATTCAGTAATTTTTATGGCGACCATTCCATTAGTTTAAATGTTCATGGGGTTTTGTATTTAGGGGACTGAGTTAAGCAATTTATCCCATTAAATAGATTTTCAGCTTATAAATTTGAAAATTATGCATATGAAATATTTAAAAAAATTTAAAATAATCCAAATCAAATATTTTAGCAATTATTTCTAAGAATAAAAAAAGGTATTTTATATTTCGGATTCTAAAAAATTGTCTAACGTAAATAGTTGTACTATTAGTTGTAAAAAATTAAATACATGGTTTACTTAGTAAGAAAAGCGTACCCCAATATGACAAAAGTTAGGGAAGTTTTTGTGATGCAGTTGGGTGTTCTGGTCTGGGTTAGTTATTTTAAAAAGGCTGCATCGTAACGATATATTTTACGTTAATGGAAAAATGTCTATGATTTCGGTTGAAATATTCGGAAATATTTTTTTTATTAAAAATCAAAGTAACGTTTTCGTTTATTTAATTTATTATGTATCTACATATATGAATGTCGATACTGTTATAAGCACATTTATTAAATGGTTAAAACCAAGAACTCAAAATAAAATTTAAATAAAAAATTGCAAAGTAATTGTAATGCAAAGTAGAAATTTAACTTTAAAAATTAATAGTGTAGCGAAAATGCCAAAATATGTATGTGTGAATGTATATATGTTTAATCTTTCCTCTTAATGATTACATTTTCCTGTACTGCATATCTGCCACAAACTAAACTCTTTGCTCTTTGCGACGCTTGCAAGTTTTATAAAAATTAAACAACAGCAACTCGGGCAAGAGCGTATAGAGATTTATTTAGCAAAGCGAATTCATCGAGTTTGAGCGTCAAAAAAGCGTATGATGTGTGTGAATTTAGTATTTACTTATAATTATTATAATAAATTAGTTAAATAATGTTGAAATATACTTCAAATGTAAACACTTTGAAATGTATGTATACAACAAATCACATATTCATTGAAAATAAGAAAAATGTACAGATTTTAGATTTACGCTTGGTTAGTTGTCTCTTTGCGATGTTGAATGAATAAAGTTGTCAAACGGATTTCTGCGCGTTTGTTTTTGGTCGGTCTGGAAATCGGTTCCTCTAATCTATGGTCATTTTACGCGGAAATTGTTAAAAATTTGATTTGTTCGAATTTTTGTGTATAAACTTAATCGTTTAAAAATGAGTTTTGGCGGTTTATATTCGATCGAGAAGCTGGACGGTTTCAATTATGCATCGTGGGCAATCCAAATGAAGAGCGTGTTAGTCCACTCTGAACTGAACATCAAGAATGAAGAAGCAACAGCAGCTGAATCTGCAGCGTTTGATATGCAGGACGAGAAGGCGCTCGCATCAATTATGTTTAGCATAAAGCCTTCGCAACTTAATCACGTCACGCACAGCAAAACATCATTGGAAGCATGGAATAGTCTGAGGGAGGTTTATCAACCATCCGGACCAGCTCGTAAAATTACGATGTTCAAGAAATTGCTTTATCTTCGTAGGTCGGAGGGCAACAATATGAAAGAACATATAAGTGAATTATATGCGGTGTTAGAACAGCTAAATGAAATTGGTGTTATCGTTCCTGAAGAAATGTTGACAATAATTTTACTTTCGAGGATACCTTGTCTTCACTTAGTGCGTTAAAAATTAAGTTGTTGGAAGAAGGTAAAAGAAAGCTGGAAAATAGTAAAGACAAAGAGATCGAAGATTCGGAGCAAGCGTTAGTCGCGCGCACCGGGGTTACGAAAAAAGACGGTTACGCTAATAAAAATAAGTCAAGTGACAAGAAATATGCGAACATTAAATGTTTTAAGTGCGGTAAACGTGGACATATTGCATCGAAGTGTAATGACGTTACAAAATTGTGTTCAAATAATGCTAGTTTATCAGTTCTAGCGTCAGCAACATTGAACAATTTGAGTCGTGAATGTTGGATTATTGACAGTGGGGCTACAAGCCATCTTTGTTGTGAAAGAGATTTGTTCTCAAAATACAAAGAGTGTGAAGAAAAAATTATGCTTGTCGATGCTCAATGCATCGAAGCAATTGGAGTTGGAGAAGTGAACTTGAAGTGTGGCAGTTTAATGGTAAAATTGCAAAATGTTTTACACGTGCCATCTCTAAAAAATAAATTTTTGTCGGTTAGCAAATTTTTGCATTATGGACTCAAAGTCTATTTCGAAAAAATGCAAGTTGTAGTACAAACTGAAAAAGGTGAAGTTCTAATGACAGCTAAATAGCAAGACGGTTTGTATGTTTTCCGGTACAGTACTGAAAAATGTTGTGATACTAGCGTCATCAATAATTATGAAGTGGATTGGCATAATCGGTTTGGACATTTAAATTTGGAAAGTTTAGCGGAAATGGCTAATAAAAATATTGTATACGGACTAAAATTTAAAAGTCAACAACAGCAAAATCAATGTGTAACGTGCGCCAGAAATAAGATTTTCGTGAAAAAATTCCCAAAGGTATCTGAAAATCGTGCGGAAAAAATTACAAAATACTTAGGTGGATCGCGTTATTTCGTTACATTTATAGATGACATGTCGCGGTATATTTGTGTATATTTTATGAAATCAAGAGACGAAGTATTTTCGAAATTTAAAATGTACAAAGAAATGGCTGAAAATTAAACTAACGGTAAAATAAAAGTATTAAGGAGCGACAACGGTCGCGAATATCTCAGTCGTGAATGTGGTAATTACCTTAAAGAAAACGGTATTGTACGTCAATTAACTGTTCCTCATACTCCTCAATAAAACGGCATTTCAGAACGTGCCAATAGAACTTTAGTAGAAATGGCAAGAAGTATGCTGATTCATAGTGAGTCTGGTGAATGTTTTTGGGCGGAGGCGGTATCAACTGCAGCTTACTTACGTAACAGAGCCATCACAAAAGCACTCACAAACTCAATACCATTCGAAAAGTGGACTGGAAAGAGGCCGTGTGTGTCAC